TCATGTAAATTAATCACCTTGATCAACCTCAAAGAATAAAAGCTAAAACAATGGGGAACAAGCCTTAATGTGTACTGTTTCTGACAAAGAGAGAGAAAATCTCCAAATTCTACCTGAACTCAAGGCAGGAAAATCATTGATGATTCAAAACATCAATGATTGAAAAAGAAAGTGTAAAAAGAAAAGCACATTCGCCTTGATCATATGCGTACGAGAAAACAAAAGGAGAGAGAAAATGAGAGAGTAAAAGAGAGAGAGAAAGAGAGAAAAAAAAATCAATGTGTTCCGAATATGTTCTACTATATGTTAGAACATATGCTTCAAACTAGAACAGGTAAAATAAAAGAAAAGATTTTATACTTAAACGTTTAGTCAGTCAAAATTTTAGCGCTTACTTTGAATCAAACTATAAATAAATGACTAATTATCGTCGTATTATAGATTTGGACTCAATTTTTTTTGTTTTGGTATATAAAAACGACAAATGCACTCGAACTTTCATTGTCTTTTCTGTCATACATGCTCCCACATCCGATGATACTCTATTGCAAAGTGTTAAATGCTTATAATTTATGCATGTTTTTTTCTTGCCCATGGTCATAGATATGCTATTTTCAAATTTTATCACATCGCTAATATTTTTATTGTTCAGCGATGTATTGATGGACAGAATGATTTTATATTCAATTCACTGAATGTACATTGAACAAATTTCGACTATTTAATTACTTATGCTAGCTAATTTGGGATAACATTTTTCTATTAGACTATCCTAAACTATGACAATAAATGATGTGTTTCATCGTCGTTTCTGATGCTGATTGATCATCATCATTATTTGAATCTTTTATGTTACTGCGTTTAACAGACGAAAAAAACATGTTTTTTTTTTCTTTTTTCTCTTATTGTATCAACTCTAGTTTGAAACAGCTGATTAAACTCTTTTTCTTTTTCCTTTTCTCTTCTTCTCTATTCCTTTTTGTTTCTATTAAAATGTCAGCCCTTGCCGGCACAAATACATGACACGAATGAAATTGTGGAATTAAACGAAGCGTGTGCATTTGTATATGTGTGTATATGTGTACGCGTTTGTATGTTCTATTTCTACACACACAACATGACTCGTGAATAATTCATTCAAAAACAGACAATTTTTCTGTTGTGTCATGTGTACAATTTCTAACTTTGACAGAACAAAAGAAAAAAAAAAATTTACGACAGAAAATTATTTTGGTGAGTTGGAAAGCAAACATATAGAATTAGAAAAGATAAAATAAATTTTTATAGGAAAACATTAAGAGTTAGTTTATTATTCTAAATGAACGATTATGCAAATTTGATATTATTAGTTCGTTTATTAAAAGAAGATAATCATGACATTTAAGAGCTGTTGTACATCGACGTGAGTAAGAAAAGAAGAAAAAAAAAAATCAAACTAACGCCTTTTTTTCTTACTAAAAATATTAGTTGGATCTTTAAAATCACTCGTTTTATCTGTCAGGTATTAAATTACCGAATATATTATCATTAATAAAAAACTACTCCAAGTAACATGAGAACTTTTACAGAAACAAGATTAAGATTGAGGATCAACTGTATGACAAAAAAAACATTTTCAGTACTTGAAGTTGAACTGCTTATAGGTTAGATTGATAGAATATTAAAGTATATAGATATTTAGAGCATTCAACTGAATAGTTTTAACCACTTAAAAAATACTCTAAACGGTGTAAAAACATTGATCATTCTCGTTGCTAATTTGTATGACTTGATTAAAGATTTATTTAACATCATGTTTAATGTTGTGTATTTTTCTTTTTCTTTACTATTTATTAACGACATTTTTTTTGCTTTCTTCTAACAAATATGAACGTTCTAATTAAATATGTTGATGCTTCCACGGTTTTTTTTTCTTCAAAAAGTTGCTGTTTCGTTCACTTGCAAAGAGAAAAAAAAAAGAGACGATGGTTTAATACGACAGACTAATGTGTCACATTAATTGTTAATTATATTTACTTACTTAGAATTCAACTATTTGTAAATTGTCAAATATGTCGGAAAAAGTTGAACTTGAATAAGTTGAACTCTAACAACGTTGAACACTCGAGTTTTTAACTTTTGTATGAAAACGCTAGCAATAAGACGAAATCCTATAATTTCAATATAAAACTTATATCAACAACCAAGTGGTGATCTCATTAACGAACATGTTTAAAAAAAAGAAGACTTTTCTCAAAAAACAGCTAACACATGGTATTCTTGAGCATCAAACTTCATGAACTGCTCCTTGTTTTTATCTATCATTTAAGTGAATCTCTCTCTTTCGCTCTTTCTCTTTTGCCTTTCTACAAATCAACATCATCGTGCGCTCTAATTTAGTTTTTCTTTATTCTTGTAAAAGAGAAACTCATAGGAATAAAATAGAGTTTTGGGGGGCCAACAGAAGAAAAAAAACCTATAAGAAAGCATTGCTATTTCATTATTTTGACTAGTCGTACTATATTGTTGTCATCTCATATTGAACAATAACACGAAAGAAAATCTAATCATAAAAGAAAACTACTTTCGTTTAGAGCGCGTTGCATTTCTCTTTTGTATTTTCTATTTTCAAGTATAAATACTAATATCTCTTATAAATCGAACAAGTATACAGGGTTTCTGTCTCTTTTTTTTCTGTTTTAGTGTTTTTTTGAACAAAAATAGCAGTGTATTTTGATGTTGTGTGTGTGTGTGTATGTGTATTTCTTTTTTTTTTGCATATTTTCGCTCATTGAAAAAAAGAAAATCTTCATCGTACTAATTCTATTCCCTATTTTTTCTTTTTCTTGTCATCATCCTCATCCTCATCATGTCTTGTGAGAAGGTAAGATGATTTTTCAGTTGTTAGGCTACGTTCGTACTATTAAATAGATAATTAATTTATTGTATCATATACACTTTTATTTTTCTCTAAAATTCATGTATTAATTGAACAAATTTAACCAGGAAGAACCAATCTAATAATAACGGGAGTCAGTGACACTTCGTCAAAGATCTCTTTATCATCTTTCAAATTTATAATTGAAATAGATCGATCTATATCTCAGTAATAATTCAGTGATGTAGTATTTTGAAAGAGACAGACATTTTGTATCACTAACAAATTGTTGTTTTCACTACTTTTGATTTCTATTTGTCTGTACTTTTATTTTTGATTGAATCCATCATACTTCTATTATTATTTTTTGGTTTCATTGAAATTTTTTCACATACTTTATTTACAGTTCGTTTTAATGAAAGATGAATAGGGAAGGATGAACGAAATGATGTTTTTTTCATGTTCAATCTTATATGTAAACATTTCGTATATTGTATGATTTATCACTTTGTTGTAAGATTTACATGATAAATAAGAAATGAACGTGTATATATAAATGATGAACATCAAATACCTAGCTACATCTTTCATCTACCTTGTCTCATTCATTCTATTGAACTTTTTGAGGTTAATTCTAGAAGAAGAAAAAAAGGCATACATTTACTATACTCTTAATCTATTTGCTAAAAATTTCAAATAGAATTCGTGATTGATTTATATATATTTACTAGATAGATCATTGAGCACTTTTATGTTGATCAAAAAAACATAATCGTACTGTTTCTGAACCATTGTTCACAATAGGGAGGATCTTAAAGAGAAGAAAACAGACATTCTATACCATCTGTCAAAATTTTAGCTTTTCTTAGTCTCAAAGATAGTTTTTGATCATTTCCCGTCCAGTTTATAATAATAATCGGATACACTTTCCAGCTGGACGTTATACTCGACTTCTCTTCTTTTTTTTTTATAACCAATCTTTATCCAGTTGCATTCTTTTTTTTTCGAGCTTTTTATCATCGTTTTCTGGTCATTATATGTTACGGTTTGTTTTTTTCCTTTTTCCGACATGCACGGTGGATAAAGAAACTTACATTTAAACAAAAAAAAAAACGATCAAAATTTATCTTCTTTCCTTCTGTTTCATACACGTATACATATATTTACATTTGTTGTGCTTTTCTTTTCGCTTCATATAAATCCTATTAAAAATCGAAACAAGCACCGCATAAGTTTAGAATAAAATAAACAGAGAAGAGAGGAATATTATTTCTACATTAATGACCATTATTATCTATAATCAAATAAAAATTTATTTAGTAGATGAAAAGCGCACTATATTATTACCGGTTTTTAGCAGAATAACAACAACACAATAAAAGAAATGTTTCATGAACTATATGTGTGACAAAGTTGAAAAATATTTATTCACTGACAGTACAGGAAATGAATGACCGAGAAACGAGAGAAATTAGAAAAGTAACCTAACTTCTCAAAAATCTCGCTTAAAATTAAACTGGTTAAAGTTTTTAGTACGCATTTTTTATGGAAAAGAAATGTGTCGGATGTTTATTATTAGACTGTAGAAGAACTTATTGCCTTTCCAAGTTCAAAGTTATTTGTAGCATGGAGTTTATATTCACAAAGAGAAGAGTAAATCTGTTTGAATGACTGAATTTTCTGTAGTCTGACGTCTAAATAGAAATTTACTCATCTCTTTTTTGAACATAAACTCCATACTATAAATAACTTTGAACTTAGATGTAGCATGCTCATCAAAGTAAAATCCTGTCTAAGCTATTAGAAGAATTCTTACATGTGTATGTGTATATAGTCTACGCGCGTTCTACACAATATTTTCGCTTTGTCGTTCTCTTTTTCAAGTTGCATGATACACTAATGATAATGATAATAGTATATTGTCTAGTATCATATCATATGTATAGAAATTAATTATTTGTTTCTCAACATCATCTTTGTATGCAAAAATCACTGCCGCCAATTCTATTCAGAAATTATTTTTAATACTTTTTACTACGCCTGTTCTTTCTTCTAAAACCTTTATTATCTTGTTCCTAATAAATTTTTCTATTTAACAAACAACAAGTATAATCATTAAAAAAAAAACTTTGTTATGTATACAATGGCTAATAGCACAGTATCTATTGGTTCTGGCAGGTAAATATCATTTATTCATGTCAACAGTGAATGTAGAAAATCAGAAAGCTTTTGCTTTAAATAGTTTTTTTTCCTTTTTCAGTATTCATATTATAATAAGCTAAGATCACATGAGCTCTGTTATACGCACATTGTGAAGCAATGATAGTAGATAAAGAGTCGAAAAGCTGTGTTTGCTTTGAAGTTACAATATCCGTATTTTTGTTTTCTGGATAGTACTACCACCGCATTTCATTTTATCGTAGAAGTGTGGACGGTCATATGTGTCCATTTTAAGTTGATCAGTCCGTTATTTTTATTCTTATTTTTCCTTTCCTATATTTCAATATTCAGACATATGATTCTATCATTCAGTATTAACCTTCATTCATTGAGATGTCAAAGAAATTGTTGTTTCCACTCTGAGAGATAGATCGCCAGTATCAATCGTCTATGGAAAGAATAAATTAAAACTAAATTTCCATATTTTTTAAGAGCGTAAAAGCTTTTGATAATAGATACTATCATGTATTTGTGATAGAAATATTACCAAACTTACTGAAACTGTCTAGGCAATCAGGAAGTATTTGTCGAGAAAGGAGAAACGATAAATATAGTGTGACATATAATAGTAACTACTGAGATGAGAAGGCTCTCTGATCTGACCTGGAAGATTTTCATCTTTTACTTGACTGAATTATCTCTCCAGGAAGAGGAATCAGAATTTTTTCAGCAAAAACAAAATAATATTTTTTTCAGTCGTTTTGTGACTATAAGTTCTATTTTAGCTTTTCAATCAGTCATTCTATCTATGATTATTTTGGATATTATTTAAGTTTATCTCAACAAAATTGCCTTTCTTCGCTGATTTTTGCAGATTTCTCTGAAATCAATAATAACCGTACATTTTCCTTTTTTTTATAGATCATTTTTGTCGGACTGGCATTCTTGTTCAATGAGTAACGAAAAGTCACAAACAACAACACCTACGTCATCGTCACCTACACCATCCACTGATCAACAACAAATTCAATCGTCAACAATCACAAATGGAACTGGGGGTGGTGGTGGAGCCCATGACTATTTAATACACACAACAACAACACATAATAATAATAATTCATCCTCAAATTCGACGCCGTCATTATTAAATCAGAACGGTATGTCTGACTTTCCATCTTCAACATGGAATAACGAAACATTAAATAATGTCAACAACAGTAGTTTATTATCATCAAATTTAAATGAAATGAATAATATTGGTCACACATTAGATGCACTTGTACCATTGGTACAAACAATAAATAACAACAATACGAATGGACGTATGTTTTCACCACCGTCCGCATTACAACAAATACCACCTTCTCAAACTCCACCTCCGCCACCGTTAATGAATATTCATAATGGAACAAATGGGCAAATGACATTCCAGCAGGTATGTGAAATTGAAGTTCTCAAGAAGAAAAGGCTAAAAGTCAAAGTGAGATCAGAAGTTGAAATGTGTGGAAAATGTGAGATCCGACATATTCACTTATTGTATCGACTGTATTTACTACTAAGTGAACTGCATTTGTGATTTTCGTGCCTTATATGCTTTTTTTTTATTTTCAGCAACAAGCAACACAAGCTGCTTTACAAAGACGAGCTATAACAGCCAGCCACAATTTTCCAACTCCTACAATAAATCCTAGACCGATGACAAAAAATCAACAACAATCTCACATGTGGAATAATCAGACAGCTGCACCTATCATGAACAATAATATTCAACAACAATGGCAAGGACCTCAACCGGCAGCAGCAATGCCTCTGCCATCACATATGCAGCAAACTATGACAAACGGAGTTAACAACACTTGGAATAGTCCGAATAATGTAGGTAACGCAATGCATGGATTTCCAGCTACATCATCTCGGCGTCCTGTACCATCTTTAACAAATCCTATTAATTCGTCAGCAATGATAGGTAGCGGTGGTAATAATAATAATGGAGGAATGTCAAGTGCACCAAATATCAATAGTTTACATCAGAAAAAGGCAAGTCAACAACCACAAAATAGTTTTTTACCATTTTTACCACCAACGCAAAACAAATTTAATGTACAACAACAACAACAACAACAACAACAACAACAACAGCAGCAGCAACAGCAGCAGTCATCCGTTCGAAGAGCAATGATTCCACAAAATTATAATCCACAAGCGAATAATAATTTACGTTATCATCCAAATAACATAAATAACAATAATTTACTTGATGGAAATGGACAACATATGATGAATGGTAGTGCTATGAATTGCGAGGATAATAATTCACCATTTCCTCCAATGAATGTAAGTTCTCATTTTGCGTGTAACTTACCTTAAACTGCAGAAGCAAGGAATATCTTCCGGTTATACACCTATCTTTACAATTTGGTGTGAAACATATGTAATCAAATCGGATATTACTTTCTTTTTAGTCTGGTGGTGCATACGACATGAGTTCTTTTCATCAATTAATGGACATGATGCGTAACGTTAATACTGATGGTAACAATGAATTTAAATGTAAATCATACTGTTAGAGAGCGGCGTCTTAGCCTTTGCATCATCAGGTTTTGATAGGACAATAGAAACAGGTTCTAGTATAGTCTAGTATCAGACGAAAATTTTAAAATGAAAGGCAACATTTTAGCTGATGGTAAATTGTATTCTGAGCTATGTAGAAAAGACCACAAATTGTGATCATATGTGTTCAAAGAGACTGTTCAGTTATTCAATATTCTCTTTCTGGTTTTGAAAATCGAATTTGTGCAGCAGTTCATAATGATGTCTGGTAGATTGCAATTATCACTGATATATTCAATTTTAGTAAAACGTGTGTACAGCGATGACAGTGGCATGGGTAGTATACTCGATACAGAAAGTCTGATCTCAGTCGGTGGTGGTAATGGAGCTCCTGCATCTAGTTTATTTGGTTCACCAAGGAATATTGTGGACATGAATAAAGAAGAACGATTTTCTCGAAAAGTATTTGTTGGTGGTTTGCCTCCCGATATTGATGAAGGTTTGTTTTTTTCTACACATACGCTTTTCGTTTAAACATTTTGTTGCTTTGCAGAAGAAATTATTGCTCATTTTCAACGTTTTGGGCCATTGATGGTTGATTGGCCACACAAACAAGAAAGTAAATCATATTTTCCACCAAAAGGTCTGTACATTGCTATTGTCTACCTAGCTTTTTTTCTTAATTTTACTGTAAACTTTTTGTTTAAGGTTATGCGTTTTTGATATTCACTTGTGAACGTTCTGTTCAAGAACTAATTGATGAATGTGTTGTTGATGATGGTAAACTTTATATGTGTGTATCAAGTCCAAGTATGAAAGATAAAGCCGTACAAATTCGTCCATGGTTATTGGCTGATTCTGATTTTGTCATGGATGGTTCACAACCGCTTGATCCAAGAAAAACAATATTTGTTGGCGGAGTACCAAGACCACTGAGAGCAGGTGAAAAAAATCTGAGCTAAAACCTGAAATTTCAAAAACTCGATAAAATACTCCTTTTAGTTGAACTTGCAATGATTATGGACAGATTGTATGGTGGTGTATGTTATGCTGGTATTGACACTGATCCAGAATTAAAATATCCAAAGGGAGCTGGACGTGTTGCATTTTCAAACCAACAAAGTTATATTGCAGCTATTTCAGCAAGATTTGTACAATTACAACATGGAGATATTGATAAACGGGTACGTTAGTACGGCAATTTTCACCCTTTTGATGCTATCATTTACGACATATTCTTTTCTGTCTTTGTAGGTTGAAGTCAAACCATATGTATTAGATGATCAAATGTGTGATGAATGTCAAGGAGCAAGATGTGGCGGAAAATTTGCACCATTTTTTTGTGCTAATGTGAGTTAGAACTCATTCGTTGTGTTACGGGCACACATTTTTAAATATTATATTGACAAAGTAAATCTTGTTATGAATTCAGGTAACGTGCTTGCAATATTATTGTGAAACATGTTGGGCTTCAATACATGCGCGATCTGGTCGAGAATATCATAAACCATTAGTCAAAGAAGGAGCAGATCGACCTCGTACATTACCGTTTCGATGGTAGTTATTCGTACACTTAGTACTCATTAGGCAAGACAGGTGAACACTCTCCCGTGTTGTTCTTTGTTCTCTCTCTCTTTCTCGTTCTCTCAGCATTTTGTGCGTGCGTGTGTGTTGTGTATTTGTTTTCTTTTATATATTCTCACGATTTTATTATATATGATGGTTTTTATTTAGTTACGTTATTATTACATTTTTTGTTGTTTATTTTATTTTCCTATGTTTTTTTTTGTTGTTGTTGTATCTTTTTTATGATTAGAATAACCAGCACGCACACACACGTATCCAGCAAAAAAATAACCATGATGATATTGATGATGATGACGATGTTTTCTACACAGAAACATTTCTTCCATTTCTCGGGATGTTACATCTAGACATACGTGTACAGTACTTCGATAGACAGCGAAGATTGACAAATTTCTATGATTTTTTTGTTTTTTAAACTCACGTCATAGTTTACTTCCGGTCACATAGGACTTTCATGACTTATGTGTACAAGTCGAAGTGACAAGTTTGTTAAAGGGACATGAACGAAAGACATCTGCTGTAGTGGTCTTTTTTATTATTATTTTCTTTTCCGTTTTTTTACTTGATATTGCTGGCGAATAAACGTGTAGCCTTTTCTTCCTTTCTTCTTGTGGCATATATGTTCTTCAATGGGCTCGTTAGTTATTGTTGTTCTTTTTTTGTTGTTTGCGCAATGTTCACTCTTTAAACCGGATATTATTTATCCAGCAGTCGTCGATCTCTCTCTTTCTCTCCTTATTCAACATATTTTCTGATAATAAAACAGACCCATTTCGGCTGGTTTTGTGCAATTGTTTTTTTGTCTTCTTTTTTATTTGGGTTCGTTTATTCTTTTTGTATAGAAACCTTTAACAAAAGACAAAAAAAATTTCTTATTTTTTGATATAATTTTTCTCTTCATTGGGGCACTCTACGTTGGTCTAGAAAAACATCATTATTACATTTTGATATTTTTTTTTTTTGTTGCTTTTTGTTTATTTATACATTTATTTTTTTAAAATATAAACTATAAATGATGCGTGCGAAGAAAGATAATGTACTGAACGTGTATTTCTTTGATATATCCAAATATGTGGGCCCGTTTTTGATCCGGTGAACGGGCGTGATGTTTTTCTATGTTAGTTTCCACTCATCCCCGCTCCCATAACACAAAAAAAATTAGAGCATTTGATGCAGATCAGTTTTTGCTTTTCCATTTTTTGTCAAACGAACATTTTGTTTATGAAATTTTTGCTGTTTTTCTTTTTTTATGCATTATGATATGTGGTTTTCGTTTTATATTTGTTTATTTCTTTTCTTTCTCTCTTACTGACTGTACTCTTTTTCTTTGTTTCCTGTTCATTGTTGTTTTTAATTTGTATTTCGTTGTAACACTATTGTTGTTGAACAAAAACGGCAAATAAAAATTGAGAATACATTTCAAGTTTAGTAAAATATTGCTCTTCAGATATTTGTTCAGATAATCTTTTGATAAAGTGGAAATTAATCATTTTTACTCAGGTATGATTTCTTCAACTACTCGACAGCAAAAAAGTTGTAGATTAAATATGATAGTATTACATTGTATATTTAAATAGAAGAAATATGAAAGCTACAAATGAAAAGAGGCAAGAAAAGCGGGGAAACGCAAATATAAAACTTTTATACTCAACAGAACGAGATTAGTGGGTACAAAAGCAGCTATGTAATAAACTTCTCGGATCCATGTGCTCACGTGAAGAATTCATTCATACTCCTGTAACACAACAGAAAACAAGATAGATTTAAGAGACGAATTAAAAGAAAAGACTTTTTCAAGCACTAACTGGAACTGTCAAAATAATTAGGAATGATATCCTACTTCATAAAATATACTCTCAGAGTTGAAAAAAAAGGAAGTAAATATCCTCTGCTTTTTTCTCTTACAGATTTTCAAAAACAAACACACACTCACGGAAGTATGTTATCAACACCATTCAGTACATCAAACAGTACAAGCAAAAGAAAGGATGATGTTAAACGTCGTCTACAGTCAGTATTAAGTTTCAGTCCATATGCTGTTTACTATGGTTTCGTTCCATTTGTTATTTATCTTGGATTTAAACTTGGTGCAGATCCAGGCACACCACCATTTACGATATTGAGTATTTTACCTATTGGATAGAACAGAAGAAACAAATAAAATACATTAAGAAAGTCGTTTATTAAGACTTGTCTTGTTTTTTTGTATCTGGCATTTTTTTCCAACCATTTTGTATGTTAATAAACAAAAGATAGATAATTCTCTGAATGGTTAGAGAATTTACTTAAGACAAAGCATGAATTACTGTGATGATATATTTGAGCATGATGATTGTTTGATCTGTCGAAATACGATGACGGTAATAAGTTGAATTTTTCAACAATACCAGTTCAATTGCCATAGTTTTACATAGAATATACTTGATTTTTATTACTACTGTTGTTGATCGAATTTAAAACTCTTTTTCCATTAGACTTCGTATTTTTGTTGGATAAAAACGAAGGAGAAAGACAAAAAAAACACATAGAAGTGTATGCGAAATTCGTGTTTAGGAATTACAAAGAATCAGATAAGTAAACACACTTACTGAATTTTTCTTAGATGAAGTGTTATGTTTTACAAATTGATCTTGATTATGGCATGACTCGTTTACACTTCTCAGTGGGACTACTAAAAACTTTTGATATACAATATGAATTTCTTTCAAAATTTAGCTTCATATATTACTATTGTAGTAGTCCAAAGTTACGATGAGAAATTAAAAAAAGTTGCTCTGTCTTTTTTATTTAGACCAACTAAGAGACCTTGTTCCTTTGAATTTTAATCCAATTTGTAGTTTGCTATAAAGCGCGAAAGATTATGCGCAGAAAAAGTGAATTCATAGGTAATCAACTATGGTAATCAACCAGTGGTTATATTCGCGAGATCTTCAGAGGGCCTTCAGGGATCACCGAAGGTTCTCGGAAAGATCTCCAGAAAACCTTTCAGGATTTATTGAAATATGAAACTCCAGCAAAATACTTGCAGAAATAGCCCGCTACGGCCTGTCCAATGGGCATATTATCAAAACCCTCTGATGATCTCCAAAGGGTATCGATGACAGTCATCGACAACGTCACTGACAGCTGCCAGGTGCCCTTCTTCACATGAAAATAAGCTGTTTGTGGCCGTATCTATCGAAAAAATAAAAATTCTCAGATGTAAGCGGTATTTGTGCGATAAGAAGCCTATATACGAGAAAAAAAAACACAACTGGCAGATGTATCTAAACGATAGTCGATTACTTATAATTTATGCTGTTTATGAACAATATTCCAATATTGTTCTATACTAAGTGAAGTAAATTATAATATTAAGTGAAAACAGCCTAAACACCTCAATTTTGATAAAACTCCGTTTTCGCTGCGTTTTTGAATTCTATTCGCAAAATAAACATTGCCATCCAATCCAGCGTAGTCGATTACGTATGTTCCATCCGATTTCAAGGCTACCTGGAATCACTGGATACCAGTCCTAAGGTTTCAGTGAAATCCGATTCCACGCCTGAACCAGTGGAAACCAAGATCTCGCTTGGCTTCTATCTTAAAGAGGACACTTTGGATTATCCGTCCATGAAGGAAAACGAAAGTATTTGTACTTGAAGATTTCGAGCTATGAGTTGACTTTCCAAAGATCTCTCTAAAAACCTACTTCAAAACAATATTTTCAAATTAATATCTATTATAAAACTGTGCCTCAAAGTCTCTTCTTTTGAATGGTGAAAACCCGAACTCTCTACCACATTCAGTTACCGAGATAACCAAAAAATAGTCGGGGGCATTGTATTTCGTAACGGACAATAGTAAATTTGATTTAATGAATCTGATGAATTTATTTTATTTTATTATTTTCTCTACTAATAGAAAAAAGAATTTTGCTCTCCACAATCGTAACTTTATAGAGCCATAGTCATATATTATAAAAAATATTTTACTTTAATAATTTAATAAGCCAAAGATTTTTTATAAGACTTTTAAATTTTTTAAAAAAAAAAAATTTAAAATAATATTTTAAAAAATTAACTTTTTTAAAATTCTATATTATAATATAAGTAAGCACACTACTATAGTTATTTGTACCAAATTACAGAAAAATTCGTTTTTGTTTTGTGTAAAATTTTTCTATTATTTAAAAGTGGTCGAATTTTGTATTAGTCCCACTGAGAAGTGTAAACGAGTCATGGTAATTGCGATTCATCTGATCTTTCAAATTCATCTCTTGTTTGATGGAATGATTTTGTGACTGTTTCGTCTATTATTATTGTCATACAAATTTTCCTCGCCATTATAATACTAATTTTTCTGATTTCATTGATGACGATACTGATTGTTTACAGATGAGTGTGATATACGTTGTTGTTGTTTCTTATAATAGTAATACTTACGATATTGCTTGGTGAAATAATTCAAAGATGAACGATTCAGTTCATTATTATTATTTATAGATGATGGTTGAATGTTGTTGCTTTTGTGGTTGAAAATATTGTCGAAATAATAGTTTATTATCATTATTTCGTACCGATTTATTTTGTGTCTGGTATCTTCTCATTCCATGTTTTGATAATACATGAATTAAATAAAATAATTTTTCATACAAATCATGATTGAAAAATGTATTAGAGTCTTGTTTAATTGAATTTACAATTGTTTTCTCTGTTTTTTCAAGTGCACATAAAACTTGACCAAATACACTTGGTTGTGTCCATGTTTTACAATTGTCGACTGCATCATTCGACACTAATCTTACTGAAAACAATATGTCTTCAAGAGATACTTTTTTATCATCGATCTTTTGTAAATTGGTTGTTACTTTTACTGTATTATCAGTACTGTTCGTTGTTATTTGTTGTCGATTGCTCTTCTCCGTAATCGTGAGCATACATGAGGGTGATGCGAGGAGCGCTGTTCCAAATTTTGTATCATTTTCATTATCAACATAATCGTTTTCCAAATCACTTAGGTTTAACATTGTTGTTAATTCTGTTTCTTTCAGTTGTTTTATTTCAATAGAAACAATCGGCGAGGTAACAAAATTAAACGCTTGCTTTTCATTGCCATTATCTGCTAAATATTCAGATGCCAAATCATTAAGTGAAAAATTTCCTTCGTCATTAACAATGTCAATTGCTGATAGACAAACATTGTCACTGATCGGTTCTGTAATAGTAATATTTAATATATCCTGATTCATTCGTTCTTCTACTGAAAATACGTTTAAATAGACACGGAAAATCAGATGAAAAGACAAGACGGTATTTTAGACCAAAAAGCGTACAGCCTAGATCGTAATAATGTGAAATGATTTCTGAAACAACGAGGAATAGACATGTTACATTCGAAGAAATCTATCTGTTTGAGTAACAGGATACTGATCGACGACAGTCTGAATTTGTGTCAACATGTTTTGGTTCGCGATTGAAATCTCAGAGTATTATTCGAAAATTCAAGACTTAAAGATCGGTACATTGGATCATTGTAAAGTAATAGTGGTAAAATTAATGAAATAACTTTTTTTTCTTTTTATTTTGGTTACTGATGACTTACATATTTCACTCGGCTATAACCTTTTCAGTAATCATAGAAAAATAAATATCAGATAAAAATACGAGATATTATTAATAAAATGTGATATCAGCGCAGGAAGTTATGGTGGGAGTGACGTACTTAATGGAAAGAACTAAGAGAGTCGAATCGACGAAACGGCAATTCTACTTCATTAGTTGAGTTCAAATATACTAAATAATGATCAATATAACATATTCATGAAATCCACCGGAATAATATCCTCGATATTTCCCTAAAATCTCGTATTCTTGTCTGATGTCTACTTTTTCTAAGATGTCGAGCACCCTTCACATCAAACGGTATCATATCATGGTAAATTAAATCTAATCAATTAATGACGATCTCTTTAATCGATCGTATTCTTCAGCAACATCTTGAGATGAAACTATTGTCAGATAAAATAGATTTTCAATCTCGTTTTTTTATTTTTAGAGAATTTTATTTGAGATTCGATTTTTTATCGTTCTGTTGGTCGATACGGTCTTGTATAATATTCTAGCATTTCTTCAACAATATGGAATATCTTTTATAACAATCATCACTTATATAATAAAAATAACTACTATCCGTTTTTAAATAAAAGGCGGACGAGTTCTCATGCTTATAAGTTTTTAAGGAAAAGAGTTAGAGATCTGCGGTTTTCGCCATTCAAAAGAGCAACTCAGGGTATACAAGTATACACGAAAAGAAAATTTTTGTGAAAGTTTTAGTGGACGAAAGTTGGAAAAATAGAGTGTTTTCCAAAAAAAATCTTTTTTTATTTTTTCGCTAGTCTTATAGAGTAAGATGTCCTCTTTCGAATGGTATCTAAGCGATCCTACAAATTTTGCTTCCTTGCCGAGATACAAGCGTTGTAAAAATAGCTCACTTTTTCCGAAATTCGAGTTTTTAGTCGTAAAAAGTGTCAGTATATAGATATTCGAGCTATAGATATATATTGCGCTGATCATCGCACTGATGTCACTTTTTTGTTTGGAGGAGAAAAAGATGAGTTAACAGAGTTTTTTGAACAAACCGCATATTTTGCCTTTTCGCTTAGAAAACTTACTTTTTCAAAAAACTCTGTTAACTCATCTTTTTCTCCTCCAAGCAAAAAATGTTCAATTCAAACTTTTTTTCGGAAAACACTCTATTTTTCCCACGTCCACTAAAACTAGATTGAGAAAACTTTCACAAAAATTTTCTTTTCATGTAGACTTGTGTACCCTGAGTTGCTCTTCTGAATGGCGAAAACCGCAGGTCCCTAGCTCTTTTCCTTAAAAATCTATAAGCATGCGAACTCGCCCGCCTTTTATTTAAAAACTGATAGTAGTATTTAATTAATTTGAATGCTTCTTTCGTTTATCATTCTTGTAATGTTGTCTTCTTGATTGATAACGTTTTGAATCATATTTTGGTAATAATTGTATAAACGAAAATCTCTTACTAGAGATGACTTGACTTGAAAAAAATTTCTCAATCAAGCCCCAGAAAATTGTGGACCAAGTCACTTGATTTGGACCTGAGGCATTTTTGGCTTGACTTGCCCAGCTCTGAAGGGAACGAATTAGTCTGTAAGGAAACTTATATCTGATTTTACTTCTTAGTTATTAATCGCAGATACTATCCATTAGAAGGCCTAGATGAACATTGATTTTACAACAATGCCACCGTGACGCATACCTTTTCTACGCATAAGTTATCATTCCATTGCAATGACTGTAGCTTCTATGGACATGTTCGTAAAGGTCGTTATTGTCCCATTTAAACATAAAGAACGTAGGTGAGTAAGGTAGAAAATTGTCCCAAAACAGAATTGATTTTTTTCGGCACCTTTGATCCCCCTCAGGATTTCTGGAAAACTATTTTTCTCCAATATTTTCAAACCCATATGAGTTAGAGGCAGAATTTGACGCTAATTACAAATATTACCTTCTAAATGGAAAAAGGTTGACTTTTCATAGAGCAAAGCGGATTTTCCTAAATTCTCACTACCAGATGGTATTCTACAAATTTTATCTGGTGAGTCATACTAAAAATGCGTTTTATAGCTTCAAAAGAAGTTCAGATTACGCAAAGATGTTTTTTCTTTCAGAATATGTGTTTGAAAACAGGATCTATTTAAGCCAGGTGATTGAAAAGTTCAAGATAGGACCTGAAATCGACATAATTCTACATTCCTTTTATTTTTATCATTGTAACTGAACGAAAGCTGGAAGCAATGAGAAATTTATATCTACTAGGCAACTTTTTATGCTTTATCAAATGGTTATATTTTAAAAAGGAAAAAAGATATGCTTTCTGCACAAATTAGAAAAGATTTTCGAAAACAGTAGAAACTTTACTACATTTTAACATTATCGCCATTCAAACAACGTTTTTATTCAAAATAAATTTCAGATTCGTCATCAGCACCGAAAACTGAGTCGAACCATGTGTATTTTACCATTTCTACATGATTCTGATTTCAGGTCTAAAACTGGACCCTCAGGGAAAACACAAAAAAAGTGTTGCCCTAGTTTTAGATTAAAATCCGATGTTTATACGTAACTAGACACGGAAGGTTAGAACATGACAAAAGAACGACTGAAAACCCTTTTCAACCTTTTTGAAGCTAATATTCGTAATCAGCGTCAAATTCTGACCATATGGTTTCGAAATTATCGGAGAAAATGCTTTCCAGAAATCTTGAGGGGAATGAGAAACTAAGTGGTGGAAAACAGTCCTAGTGACCCTCTGGCACGTTTCCAACCGAAAAAAATCAATTCTGTTTTGGAACAATTTTCGAAACATTGCATAATTATACATCAAATTGTAGCTCTTGACGAGTTGATCCTAGTGGTGAAGGAATTTGGTCTCGATCTAACTTTACGTTCGAGTGATACTCCATTTACTAGAAAAATTCCTGAAGTTTGACCTCGATTTTCTCCTAAACGCTCCGAAAATTTTTCGAGATTTTTTCAGAATAGGAACTACTTAGTAGGATCTATAACTTTGTCCATACAACTATCCTCGACACTTTCCATTTTTTACCCTCCGTTTTCCAGAAAAGCCGTTAAAACCTTACTTCATGAAAAGAAAATTGAGCCATTATGACTCTATATTCCTGTTCAGCATTAAGAATTCAATATTTTCTGAGGCTTCTTTGTGTTTCCACACCGCAGTTTTCTAAGAGGATTTCTGAAAAACCAAGGGTGAAAAATGGAAAGTGTCGAGGATAGTTGTATGGACAAAGTTATAGATCCTACTAAGTAGTTCCTATTCTGAAAAAATCTCGAAAAATTTTCGGAGCGTTTAGGAGAAAATCGAGGTCAAACTTCAGGAATTTTTCTAGTAAATGGAGTATCACTCGAACGTAAAGTTAGATCGAGACCAAATTCCTTCACCACTAGAATCAACTCGTCAAGAGCTACAATTTGATGTATAATTATGCAATGTTTCGTTCATTTTCACCGACGGTTTTCGGTTTTACCCTCACCAAAAACTTGTGTCTAGCAAAGCACTTTCCACACGTTTTTCCAAAAAGCGTAAGCGAGACTTTTAAATTATTTTTGATGCTCTACACGATGGGCAAAGTGAAACTTTCGCGGCAAGATACTCTGTATAAAGTCGGACTTGTGTGGAAGCACCCTGTATCCAGCACAGTAAACAATTTTGACACGTTACATTTGATTCTGACTTTTTAACAGCGGCTGCTTCTAGACTGATTTCATTCTTTATACCTCTGAATATCTATTTAAAAGAGAAAAACTTTCTTGTCCTATTTCTTGCCATTCCAGTCAAGATTCTGTTTTGAAAAAACATGAAAAATCAACAAAGAAATGAGGTAAGAATCTTGAATGAAATGGCAAGAATTAGGACAAGAAAGTCGGCCAATAAAGCAAACGACTATTAAAAAAATATAAGCTGAGGGGAACCTCAGGCAAAAAATTTCTTGTAGTAAAGATAGATTATTCAACACATTTCGTAACACTATTTGTATGTAACACGATTTGTTTTCCTTAAAAGAGCCCACAAGCTTTATTGTTTAAGAATAGAAGCGCAAGAAAAATACCGTAGTAGTGTCCTGTAACTGAAACTATAGAAAAATACGTACAAATAGAAACACAAACATGTGAAATTACTTTCGTTGTTTACTGCAAAATCAAGTCCACTGCTTCTAGTCTATATATATTTTATGATGACGGTAGTTGTGAAGCAATTATTAGTATTAGTCATTGGAAATTGCAATAAATTTCATGTACCATTACGTAAATAAAATAATACCTGTTGAAATGACAGGAATAAACAAAAAGTTTCCTTCAGATCACTTTCAGTATGCGTGTTAACATTCCCTCACTGCTGCCTGTCCAAAGGATGCCAGTAGCAGTCCTTCTCGAGCCTTCCCCCGGCCGCGTCAGGTGGTGTCAATATTCATTCCCAAAAATCATTGGATCAACTAACTGACTGTAGTCAGAAAGTATGACTCATGATTCATACTTTCGTGATTCACAGATAATAGTCGTAAAGTTACAAGAAAAAAACAGAAATCAGTGGATCACAGTTGCACTAACGAAAAAAATCAATTTGTACAAAAAGTTATGAAGGCGTCGATCACCATCTACCGCTTTAGTTCCTAAGACCTATGTAGAGGCCTACCAATCATATGAAAATCTTAAGCGATGGCGGCAAAAATGACTCATATAATGACTCGAAGCCCAAGAACGCTTATTCCTTTTATTCTTTTATTTTCTTGTGACTTTTCTTTTAGCTACGGTTACAAGTGTGTTATATTTAGTGCTGAAAATTTCACATTGTAATTGAATGAATGAAATATTGCAATACACGACAGAAGCGCACCTAAAGTATAGATTTGCACCGGTATTCCCCCTTTCATAAGACTATAACAGGCTAATGAAACTATTACTCCTCAAGTAAAACTTTAGTAATGAACTTAAGCTTAAGACTCTTCTCAATTCACGGAAGCTGAGAAATGAGAAAAGAATAAATAGCGCAATAGTCACTCACACTTACGAGAACACAAACACAAATGTTAAACTTGCTGCAGATAAGAGAGAAAGAACTATTATAGCAATAATCAAGCTTACGATGAATACAAGAGAGACAAACACCACGCCAAGAATCAGCCATGAAATGATTTGAACACTGTCGCTTGGTCGAGTCGCTCAGGCCAATGAGCTTAAAGTGTAGTGCGAAGCAGAGCTCTGTTGTTTTGTATATCGTCACTAACCTTCACGAATTCCAATGTGTAATTTTTAACTATTTTAGATTGATATTCCATTAATTAATCACTTTAACTAGCAACAACAAGGAAAACTATGGGTTGTGACGGTGGAACGATCCCAAAACGTGACGAATTAGTAAGAAAAAAGAAAAAGCCTGAAAAAAAAGACAAAAATGCTGCGAATATGGCAAAATGGCGTCATTGTTCATTGAAACATGATCTGCTTAAACGTCCTATTGTATCATGTGGGAAAGGCTTACTATACAACAAAGATGCGGTTATTGAATATCTGTTGGATCGAATGAAATTTGAAAATGGACCATCACATATTAAAAATTTAAGAGATATACGTGAATTAAATTTAACTGTTAATCCATCCTTCAAAGAAAAAACTAATGAATTGGGCACTGAATACCGAGACGTATATAAAAGTGAATTTTGCTGTCCATTGAGCGGGTTAGAAATGAATGGAACATATAAATTTTGTTATTTATGGAAATGTGGTTGTGTTGTCTCGGATCGTGCATTACGTTCGATACGAATGCCTTCGACCTCATCAAAATCTTCATTAGCATGTCCAAAATGTGGTAAAGAATATTCGACTGATGATATTGTTATTATTAATCCAGAAACTGAAGATGATATTACAAGCATGGAAGAACGACGATTAAAATTAAGTCAACAAAAGCAAACAGATAAACGAAAATTAGATGAAATGAACAATAACGAAGAAAAAGTGAAAAAATCTAAGACAAACGGTAATTTCATTCAAATGACGTATTTACGAGAAGATCTGGGTGTAAGACCTTTCTACCTTGCAGATTCGTCTGTAAACTTTTGTTTTTTTAAATCATTTTTAATTAGTGCGGAAAAGATTTTAAAAACGATTATCTTCTGCAGTATTGGCGATCGTTTCTGTATTAATCTATAACTGCTATTTTTTGTTGTTTTAGATGTTAGCAGTGTTACATCAACTGCCGATGTTCCTTTATCTTCAACTGCCGATGTTCCTTTATCCTCAACTGCCGATGTTGCTTTATCATTAACGGCTACAACTGTCACATCAACGGTTGTTACAAGTAAAACTGCTATTAATCAACAAAAAGTTACAACGCCGTCAACATCAGTAGCAACGTCAAAACTTGCATCAAAGTCAAAATTAATATCGAATAATGGTGGTAGTATTAACAATAAGAAAGTCTCAATTCAAGAAGATCCAAATACGACTGCATTATATAAATCATTATTTACTACAAGTGCCTCAGCTAAGAAACAGCAATTAAATAAAGCTCACTGGGTTACATACAATCCATTGTATTATTGATTTCTCATTTCAGTACAGAACAAAACAAAAACTGTTTTAACAAAAGTTTTCTTTAAAGCGCTCTTGAATTCTTGCAGCTGTGGTTGTAAAACATTGTTAACATATGTGTTGTTTTTGTATTTTTTTTCTCCTGTACTCGTATTTAGACAGTCCGCAATAAATATTGTTTGATTTCGTTCATTTCATTTTTCTCACGCGATTAATCAGTAAGACGAACACAGAGATGGGCGAGTCTGAGTCACAATTCGGACTCGAGTCGCATTTTTCTATGAATCGGACTCAAGGTGAAAGACTGAATAAACTTGATAAACTCACTCCAATCACTTTTGAGTCAGTCATGTGCAACTTGGGATTGTTATGACGATATTTATTATATTTGTTATATACTAGAAGAGGGAGAGATTTGAGAATATTCTAAGTAGAACATCGCGTCACATGAGAGGATTGAAGATCTGTTCTTGGAAAAATCAATCAGGAGGAAGTTTTTCTCTAGAAAATGACTCGAGTCAATTTTTGATGCGACTCGAGCTCGGATCTCGACCTGAAGGTTACTGACTCGAACTCAACTCAGACTCGAAAAAGTGATGACTCGCCCATCTCTGGATGAACAGTTTAAGAAGTTATTAATTTATTCTAGAGATTTTGACATGTTTAGCATACAAAACACTAGCGTGAGAGAGTTTTTTCCTGATCAAACGTAAAAAATGGAATTGAGAAGAGTCGTAAGCAGTTCATCACTAAAGTTTTGCTTGATGAGTAATAAGTTTCATTAGTCTTTTAAAGTCTTATGAAAGGGGATAATACCAGTGCAAATCTATACTTTAGGTGCAATAGTTAAACAACTGTAAATAATTCAGTATAACAATAAGCGTTTCTATAAAGATGATAATAGTAATAAGAAAAGCAAACGTTTATTTGAATGTGACTAATTGTGTCCACAGCTAGTGGAACATAGAATCTATGTTTTTGTATAACTTCTCCAACTAACCCAAAGGCTACAGGAGTAACAGTTCTATACTCGAATCCTTAGCGGTTTCACAAAAAATTTTGCGCCTCCCTGGAGACTGTCTTAAATTAGCTTTGCATACTATCTAAAAATACTATATAAACTATCTTAAAATATATGGAGTCTTAGGCTGATGTAGATTCTGTGTTAAAACCAGTTGTGGAGAGTATCTTAAATTTGCCCTTGTGGTTAGTTTTAATGCTAATGGTGCTTATGATGGCAGTAAGACTATCCTAAAGATGGACATGGTTAGTGACTTAGATGTTTATATAGAATATCTGAAAGGGATACATGGAGATTGCTCTATAATTGAACGTGGAGAGTGTCTCAAATTCAGTATTTCATCATTTATTAGAGCTTTTAATTTATTGTACGATTGTATCGGATAGAACCCTGTCATTATAACGCATTGCTACTATACTGTTGTTCGTTCAAATTTTAGTGGAAACTGGCACTATTTGAAGTCACAGAATATATGAATAGTTTCTGACGTTATAGTTTTTGATCTGAAAACCTATTTATTACTAGCTAGAGCAGTTACACATTCCAGCCCAAAGGGACTATGCGAACCAGCTTTTATTTACTTATTTCTCTATTATTACAATGGACAAATGTTTTTCTTCAGTACTGATCAGTTTATGTTCGTTTGTGCTTCGATACTGATCTGCTATTATACACCTTGGGTAATCTCTTATCGTTCAAAAAAAATCTATGGCTTTTATATGATCGTAAGCGGTCTGACCGGTGCAAAGGATGAGCCAAAAGAGGACAAGAAGTCTTTCTTTGAAAAAGACATGTTTTCTTACAATTGTGAATTATGACTATTTCTCGAGCCGAAGAGGCTGTTGGTAATTTCTAAGAAAGTAAGACGAAAAGACCTTGTAGCTGATAAATAGATCGTAAGCATAATTTGTGCAAGAAAACACTGTATTTTTTCTATCGATTCTAGATAATGAAAAGATACAATCGGCCTTCTTCAGACCATAAATACTGTCGTCCAACTATGCGCACGTCGACATAAATAGAATGGTAAATTCCGATCAAATACCATCAGCGATGAATGTTATTTCCAAAATGGAAATATCGCCGGATGAAAAAGAAATAGATTCATCGACACATGATCAGAAAAGTCCAGAAACACAAAACGTAATGAATTATGATCAAAAGAAGTGTATCGGATTGAATGTTAATTCAGCGTCAACTGGCGGTGCTGTTGTCGATGAAGCTGAAGGAATTTGGAGTGCCGATATTGAACAGAGTTTTCTCGAAGCGTTAGCTATTTATCCGCCATGTGGAAGACGTAAAATTATTTTAACTGATGAAGGTAACTAAAGGATAGAGTATGTGTCAACTCAATGAATGAGCACACGATTTTAATATATCGTTGTAGGAAAAATGTATGGACGAAATGAATTAATAGCTCGCTATATTAAAATTCGCACGGGAAAATCTCGCACGCGGAAACAAGTATCATCACATCTCCAAGTACTAGCTAAGCGTCGTTCGAAAGAACTGCAGTCATTGCGAAACAATAAAGAAGCTCAACAATTGATACTTGATAGATTAAAACGGTATACATCAGCTGAAATTGTATCTATGAATGTTGATGATAACAACAATGAAAGTAGTGAAGATAATGATGAAGAGGATGAATTACCTCAAACACCTTTAGTGCAAGCAACCGTACTCCAAAAAGCCGTAAAAATAGAAAAGAGTGATAATCAACAGTATCGCGATAATACGCATAAACCGGCTAAACATCGTCTATCAAAAAAGCCAACGTCATCTGTTCATAATAATAACGTTGTAACAGTGCCAATCTCTACAGATGCACACAGTGATATTCCATTACACATTAATAATATTCTTCATCCACTTTATGTTCAGAGTAAAGTAAGTGAGACAACGAAATCTGAGCCCATCGTGGGTCACATTGCCTCCACATCTTCAACGTCTTCTGCATCCACGTCACCTAAAACTTCACCGGGAATAAAAATACCGATAACAAACCGTCTGCAACCATCAGTTACTGTCTTGTCACAACAATCATCGAATTTATTAAAAAGTAATATAATTAATATCACATCTAATCAAATTGCACCGTCGTTGAGACATACTGAATATGACGAGTTTGATCAACTCGGTAAAATAACAATTCCACCGACCTCATCTCTTGCTCCGAATATGATTACATCAATAATTGAAACGGGACAGTATTCAGGTATAATTCTGTCAAAATGCGCTGTCTAAGTTTCATCGAAATATCATTTTTGGATGTTTTATAGGTTCAACATTGATTCGTTTAAACAATCCCGTAACAACAACAAATCTTTTACCAAGTTGTTCATCGAATCCATGCCTAAATGCGACAACGACAACTACAACATTATCTCCATCAAATGCGCGTTGTCTTGCTTTCTCTTCGGCCGGACCATCATCTGCCTGTTCATCTAGTTCATCCTCTATCTTTTCCTCATCATCAAGTCCATCACGTTCTGGACAAGCGTTCATTGGCGATGAACATTTCCGTTTACAAGAATTAAATGCATTTGTCGAAATCATACGACCAAATTTTGTACGAGAACGTCATTATCCATCTTTGTATCAAACACAAGAACAACAAACCGTAATACATCGGCATAACATGGTTCATTTAAATTCAAACGATTTACAATTCAAAAACGTACCACAATTTGAAACAATTGCCATTCATCAAATATGGGATAAATTCCCATCGCATGATGGTCTAAAAGATTTATTTGAACAAAATCCTATGGGACGATTTTATTTAGTTAAATTTTGGGCTGATGTTAATTTTTTACGTTCAGATATGAAATTAAAAGAAAAAGAAACATTTTTTACATCTTATATATTTGATAGTACATGTTTAAATTATGGTATTCATGTTTCAACTCGTCTTTGTTCATTCGGAAAACAAGTATTGGAGAAAGTCGAAACAACTGAGCCAACTCAACAACATGTTGATGGTGGTCTTGAACATTACCTTTATCGATTTGAACGTTCGCCATTATGTGATTATATGGTACAATTTATACAAAAATTACGATCATTACCCACACATTCTCTAATGAATAGTGTATTAGAAAATTTTACCGTCTTGCAAGTTGTTAGATGTCGTGATACCCATCGATTATTATTATGTATAGCCTATGTTTTTGAAATTGGTACATATGATTCAACAGAACCACAATATCATGTTTATAAACTTGTTGGAAACTGATTGACTCTCTATTGTGGATAAGATAGGATAAAATTCAATAAACGCTTCCAAATCTCTCGTAAATAAATAAACATAATTTTGATAATCTTTACGTGAGAGTACTATATATCTGCAATCTATTCTTCCTTTCTTACTCGGTGACATTCTTTTTGTGAAAATTATTTGTTTAAAATATTTAGAACAGTGTTTGCGCTCTTTTTTTTTCTTTCTATTTTTTTTGCTCACATTTATTATTCAATTAGTAATCAAAACATACTATGCTTTGTTGTATTTTCAAAAAAATCCACTTGTGAACTACCGAGTGACGAAACCCAGCGATGCTTGTTTTTTTTGTTTTGCATGTGCCCTTTTTACTAACAAAATCTTTTTGTATTCATCAATTGATATATATTTTACACTTCCATTTTCTCTATTTTCTGTGTATATGTAGACTTCGAACAAAGAATTTTATGCTAGTAGCACGTATTACGTTTTTTAAAGATGAGATGTATCCAGGATTGTTGTGATAATATATGTATACTAGTCCTCAGAGAAAATTACGGTAATAATTTTGTGTCAAGTGACATCTTCATCTCGTATTTTTATTAGTTGATATCAAAAATTTCGTCCTTGTTTCTAAAACAAAGTGTGTTATATCCCAGATTTTTTCGGTTTTTATCTTCTTATTTTTTTCTTTGTTCAGCTATTCTTGTAACAAATGTGTATTCTATTCAATCTTCATTTGAATGTTTTTCTAAAATAAAAATGTTTTCTTCTCTTGCCATTTTCATTGATGTATAGATACATTATATAATACGGTTATCAAAACGTATTTTCTCGTCCTGATAACTTAATATTCAATAAAAAAAGAAAAGGAGTAAAACTTTCAAGAAAATATCGAACATGATTGAGATATCTATCTCGTTCATGATGTGTGTTCGAAAAAAAGAGGTACAGAGATTTGAGTAGAACAGTTGAATATGATATAGCATCATGAATGCTGTATAGGATGACCAGACACTGGATTTGTATTTCAAAATCAGAGCTATTATTTATTTTGCAGACTATTCATGCATGAATTTCGAACCATATAACATGTGCAATTATCACAAGCATTTGAAATGTGTTGTTAACTATTATAAGTGTTAAGTAAGTTTAGATAGATAACATTAATCAACAGAAGATAAAACAATATTGGTCTAAGTGATAGAGATTGGAATCTTCTTTTTTATGTCAATATTTCATAATCTTGCATAGGCCTTGTCCAGACTACTGATCCCAATTGGCTTTAAAACCTTAATTCCGACTTAAGTTGTGTTTTCGTGACGACTTGGATCGGAATTAAGGACTTGTCGACTAAACAGATTCGTTAATACTTTTTAACTTTTATAGTCTGAACATGGCTATAGATTGTAAAAACACTTCATATACATTTGATTGCTTTGAATTTATGTTGGTATCAATAGACAGCATAAGTTACAAACTAGGCTTATCCTCATTTATAAGACCTTTCAACTATTCTGGCAAGCCTCTACTGGTTAGTAAGTATGCTATAATCAAAACTTACAAGATTGAAGGAATGACGAAAGTATCATGTAGATGAATCAAAAAAGTATTCATTCACGTGGTCTGTGCTAGACAAAATTCAATCATCTTGAACATATCATTTGGTGACATTGATCAAAACTATCTAATTCAAAGTGAATTGTCATACTCGATTGTAGTCTGCAGAAGATACTCATCTGCACTGAATAGAACGAGAAAAAAGTGCCCTACTTAGTTGATCTATAAGCGATGGAAAAAACCTTTTAACTCACTAGTGAACTTGAAATATAAAAGTTCTTTAAAAGATTAAAAAGAATGATCTTCTATCGACATTAGTTTTTCTAGACAGAAGTCAACAATTTAGTTCAAACACTCTCATTTTTATATCTGAAGCAGAAAAAGACGGAAACATAATAGATTATACGTCTCGGATGCCACTGTTCACACTAAAACTCTCTGTTAAAAAGACAGAACGTCGAGTGAGAGGAGATGGATCCCACTTGGAACGACGATGCATCTTATAAGATGTTTGTGAGCTTCAACTTGGAGAATCGGGTATTCAGCTACAGAGATTCGATTCGAGATGAGAGATCGAACAGAAATGTTGTTCAGACTGACTGAATAAGAGTCCCCTTCTAGTTAATGGAAATAAATCGTCTGATTTGTGTCTCAGAACAAAACCAAACCAAGGTGATATTGCGCAAAACCCTTTTAGTTAGGGAAAACCTGCCGTACATGTCTATGAGCGTGGAACAGTTGGGCTTGATGGACGCTTAACATATTTTTATAAAATCGATTTTGGTTTTGCATATTAGATAAGAAAGTGAGGGGTGTGCGTGAGGGGTATTTTAATTTGGAATAGTTCAAAAACGTGTTGGTAAAACTCTGGAAGTAAAAAGCACTATTTGCTATTTTTCAAATTAACATCTGAAGGCGCTGTGGCAAACAAGAGATTTATTTTTTTTGATTTTTAAACACATCTTTTAGAGAGTCGATTTTTTTTCTTCGTCTACTGATGTCAGTGACGTAGTTGCCAGTGAATAAATCAAAATTAATCAGTTTTATTAATGTATTGGTACATGTTTGAGTACTGCATTCATGTGTTTGCAGGGGATAAAAGAAAATGAGAATACGAAAAGAAAAAACGTTCAAGAGTTTTGAAAAAAAAGAATCGTTTTTATTTTTTTTAAATACGCTTGTTTGAAAGATTAACAGCCGCTGAAAAGTTTTATCTTATGGCACTTCTGCTGACTAGCAGATACATTATGTCACTTTTTTTTACATCTTGTCTCTTTTGTTACGGTACCACTTCTTTTAGATTACATGTATAGTGCATATTTACATTGAACACTTAAAAAATGTCAGTCGGTGCTCATCGTACATTAACAATTTCACCAAGTGCTGTTAATTTTTCAACATCATCTAAATCCGCATTTGGTGATCTGATACGTGAAACAGTGTCAAATTTGATTGCGCCATTTCGTAAGGAATACAAAGATTGGCCATGGGCTGGAATTGCGGTTGTTTCTGTTGTTTGTGTTGGTTCCTACTCAGTTTATAAACTATTACCAGGATCTTATCGACAATTTTATATGTATTCCACTGCTCAGTATGTAGAAGAATACAACAAAGCGTTACATACGTATAAAGAAAACTTATTTTCGCAACTTGAAACGATTAAAGTACAAAAAGGTGCCAAAATGAGTGTTGTCGAAATTGGCATCGGATCCGGTGCAAACTTTTCCTTTTATCCCAGAGATAGTGAGTATTCTATCATCAGTTTAACTAACGGACATTGAAAATATCGAAATTTTTTTCCAATTCAGTTGTTGAAGTGGTAGGTGTAGATCCCAATCGTGAATGGGAAAGTTATTTGACTGATATATTGAAAAAAAATCGTCATGTAAAATGTCCTGAATTATTGGTGGGTAATGCGGAAAATATTTCGGTTATTCGTGAATCGCAAGTGGACGCTGTTGTCAGTACTTTGACATTATCATGTGTGAAAGATGTTGATCAAGCATGCCGAGAAGTTCGACGAATTTTAAAGCCGGTAATAAAATAGATTTTCCCTCTTATTTAAGAAAAAAACTAAATAGAAAATGGACAGATTAAAAAAACTATTATACTTAACAGCATTTAGAAACCTTTTTATAAATTTTAGGGTGGCTTATTTCTTTATTTGGAAAATGTTCGTTCAGAAAATGTTGTTATTGCACTTATTCAAGCGTTATTTACGCCATTTTACAAATTATTCTATGGCATGTCACTAATAAGAAATATTCCAAAAAATATTGAACATGCAAATTTTACCAATTTTTCACAACAATTGTTCCATGCAAATGGATTAACATTTTTTATGGCACCTCATGTATTAGGAGTAGCAAAAAAATAAAATATATATGATTAGTTTGGTGTTTGTTACCTTTCTATCTCTCAATTAGATAATTGATTTTTGTGTGAGTGTTTGTATTTTTTCTTATTCTTGTAATTGTTAGTTATAAGATCTTGTTATATTTAAGGGCGATTCCCTTTTAAAACACTTTTTCTTACGTCCTAAATCCAATCTTCATTAAAATTTTAGAACGCATTGATCCTATTCTCCCGTCACGTTTTATACTTGTTATTCGATCATTATATTGTAATCAGTAGCTATGTACCGCTCAAGTATAACGTACTACCTGGGGGGGGGGGGGGCGGGGGGGGGGGGGGGGGGGGGGGGGGGGGGGGGGGGGGGGGGGGGGGGGTGGGGGGGGGGGGGG